ATCCATGTTTCCAGATCTAGAAGTTATATTGTAAAAGCAATATAAGCATACTATAGTCTAAGAAGTAACTCCATAGTTAGATCTATTGCGAACACACACACAATCAAGAAGAAGCAAGAAATATAAACAATTCTAGACAAAGGATTTCTCAGCCCTGTCCTTTCTCCACCTTCTGGGTGTTAACCTTATGTTGACTGGATGTTATGTGTGTGATGTTTGTTAACCCAGCCCCTTGTTGTCCATCATCCACCACATGGTTTTTTTCCCCAGGCTAGAAACTTCTGATGTTATGACTTCTGATGTTATGTTCTGAAGACGTGTCTGAGAGGCCATAAATCCAGCTCTCACAGGAGACAAAAACTCTTCCTGGGCACCATCACCCATCTATATTCTAACAGTAACCCCATGATAGGGTCGCCTTAGGGTCGCCATTATTCAGAAATGACTTGAAAACATACAACAACAACAACAACAACAACAATAACATTGCCAACCACCCAACAACTGGCAACTTTGCTTATAGCCCAAATTTACGGGTTAAATGGAATGCTGATCAAGATCATTTCAAATCAAGATACACAGTTCACCTCTCAGTTTTGGAAAACATTCTTGAAATTCTTAGAGACAGAACAAGCCCCGAGTATGATCTGAGAGTCTGAACTCTAAATCTGAAAATTATTTAACACCTTAAATATTGCTCCAGTACCTGTATTGGATCAATACCTGTATTGGAGCAATATTTGAGGTGTTACACAAATTTTCAGCAGGTCAACTGAATGGACCTGCTCCCCTACACCAAAATCGCTTATAAAAGCATGGTACATGAAAGCACTGGACATGAACTGAGGACTCTGCCAACACTAGAGGTCCAACAGACTGACCTGGTGCAAAACATCCATACTGCCTGGCTCAAAGCATTGCTGCTTTGGATGAGGCAAAAATTATTTTTAAAAAATGCTTACAAGAAACATTGGCCAAATTGGGACATGCAAAAGGTATATATGTCAGTGAGGTTTTTGAAACCATAGCAGCCCACTAAAAAGCTGGTTCCTAAATTTGTGGGGCTGATTGTTGTAAAAAGAAAAAAAGGGGAAAAAATAGTGCTGTGACTGCAGAGCCTGGTTTACCTAAGAGTTATAAGCATTTGCACCCTGTGTTTCGTTTCGGTCTGCTCAAGCCTGCGATGGAACAAGACTGATGATGGCAAGAACCTGTGCCTTGAACATTTTGAAGTGTCAAAGATATTAGATTCCAGATTGTATAAAACTAAACTTTAGTATTTTGTTCAATGGAAACATTTTTCAAAAGCTGAATGAGAATGAGCGCATGCTAAAGATGTAAATGCTTCAAGTCTAGATTAAAGGTTTCATGTTACTTACCTTGATGATCCCAGATTCTAATTTGATGGAGGGGGGATTTATCACGGGAGGCAGGATGTCAGAATCTAACCAAATCTGTCTGCACATGTATAGCATTAATTTGTTATATTAGTTAGTATAGCATTGTGGGTGTATTGGAATGTGTAACTTTTGTTGTTGTGGAATGATGGGAGGCATAGGACGTTATCACACGGGGCCCAATCCAAACAGAATCCAAACGA